TGGTCTGAAACTCGGAGATGACGCGCAGTTAACCGCCAAGCTAGCTGGTCAAGAAATGAAATGAAACGCGAGCTAACTCCGAGTTACAACGATAGGGTGAGATAGTGTTGTTAGGAATAGAGACACAGGTATAACAGTGCTCATTTAATGAAAAGTACTCCATAGGACTTTTTGATGACTGAACACTATTATACCTATGTCTCTATTCCTTACATCGCCATCTCGATTTATCACTGCGTTAATCGCAGTTTCATTTCATTTCTTGACTGCAAGCTCACTTGGAGATTAACTGTGAGTTAACTCCGAGTTTGCTCAGAGATAACGAATTATTTTTGTGGGCTTCGAAACTTTTGGAATTACTCCTTAAAAAGGTCCAACGACCTTATCGTTGCATTCTTTTGCACCAAAATTTTCTGAATTTTCTGCTTTCTTTACATGATAATGGGAAACATGAAATTCTCGCAGTTTCATTGTCAAATTACCACTACTCCTGATTTTCCTCACATACAACCGTGTAGAACTGTTCCTTAGTAATTCTTCTCACTCGTTTTGAAGTTCACTCGCTTTAGAGAAGAAAAAATGTATAGACTTTGCAATCAAATCGGTTTTTTAGAACATGAGGTAAAACGTAGGCATTTTTCGCTAGGCGTAGTTGTGTAGATTTGGCTGTTCGCTTTGCAGCTGCACATCGTACGCACGCACCCACAGAAAAGCTTCGGGACAACTTTTTCGTTTTCCCGAATTCTTGCGTATTTCAATGAAGCATATACATTGAACTGGTCGCAAACAACTTTGTTATAATGAGCACAAGCTAAAAATTTACAAAACTATGCATGAAAAGAAAGCGAACACGTATCTCACTTGGATACGGATTCTAAGTGGAATGAGGAAATCAAACGAAAGGTCATGATCATCGTTGAGTAACCTCAAATACACTAACTAATGAGCACATTGGAAAGTTCAAAGAAAATATTATGAAAATGGCCCGTTATGTTGTATTGGAACAGCTAACCTAAGGTTTTTCGGGATAAGCTGCAAGGAGTGCATTACATACGCGCAAAATTTACTGGAACGTACACAGTTGATCTACATTGCAGATGTTGCGCTCTTTGAGAACAAAAGGAAATTGTCATCCGATTACTCATTTGAAAGTCAGTGGCAAGCTGGCTGAGAAAAACATACTAGTAAGTTTTCTAATTGCAAAAACCGTTGCTGGGTTTTCGTTGTAAGTATCAGTTATTAAATGCATACACCTTGGTTCATACTCCAAAATGAATAGAGGTTAGACAACTATGCTGCTAGGTTGCGCTCATTGGCGCGGAATATTCCTCTACACTGAATTGGAGGATTATTGTAGTTTTGAATAATGAGGGCTATTATTGATTAGTGATACATGTATGGCGAGAGTGCAACCTACCAGTCATGCCGCATAAGCCAAATTTGAAGATTTAATAGATCTATCATCGAGAGAAGATTTACGCATTTTTTGAATTTGCTTCATTGATGCAATCAACTGCATACTAGTGTGATGACACGATGCTGCACCTTTCCCTCTTCCCTGCCGAATTGGTATATGGGGAAGAGCGAAGCATAGCTGCTATTTGCCTTTTGTATAGGGCAAAGAACGTCTTCATCTGCTATCTTTTGTAAAGGCTTCAGCTTTTCCCATTTACGAAATTCAGCTATAATTATTATTTATACCATAGAGACACACCAGATTACGTATATCAAGCTGGTTGTCGACTATGAGGTTTCCCCGTGATGGAGATGTTAGTGAGTTATGTACAAGTGCTTACCATGCCTGAAAACAGCATGCAGGTGCATATCAGCGTTTTTACGTTTATGCACTCCAGTTTCTGAGCATCTAGTGCAAGTTGTCAGGAGAACAAAATAAAAGGAAAAATTATCGGAAAATTAAATTGCCAATAATTTTCTGAGAAAGTACTCGATGTTCACCATTTTGTCTGAATTCAGGACCCGCACAAACGATCAGCCACCTCATTTTGTCTTTCCTTCTTTTCACATATTTGGAACAATGCGCACGGTCTAGCTTCTAACACAGTTTGTTCTGTAATATTCCGGTTTTGTTAAGATGCAAAGCAGGTCTACATTGATTTGATGAAAAACGATATCTTTGAGTTTCTCTGAATCTGTTCAGTAAAATTTTACATGCCGATTCCAATAGCTTGCTTATGGTTTAATTGTAAAATCACGGTAAATACTGGTTCTTGCTTGGAGAGCGACCATTGCAATCGTAGATTACGGGGATGAAACAACTCCACAACATTTTGAGAAATACTTTAAAAAAGACATACGCAACAAAGTTTGTTCCTGTATATCTACCTTATGCATGCAGCAATGTCCTTGCGACTTTAATAGTATAAATTTGCGTGAAGTTTCTTTTTATTTTATTCTGGAATCTTTAAATTCTACAAATTAATTTTCTTGTGAAAGGTGTTTACTTTGTATCAAAAACTGTACTCATAAATTTTGTTCAGCTGTTGTAAACTCGGCTGAAGTGATGCGTGATGGAACATTACTCAGAGATACTATCCGAGCATTGGATGAGCCAAGCACTTGTGGCAGTGTTTGCGACAGTGACTCTGTTATCGCAATTTCCGAAGATGGTGGCTTGGATTTGGTATGTGAGGAAGAGTCATCAAACTCTGCAACACTGTCATCTAATCGTGCAAATCCCGATGAACCCGAGTGAGTCGAAGCATCTCGCTCCTGCTACTCCCATCCGCATATTTATTTGTTCTTAAAACTCAATTTTTTAAGGTTATCTATACCTACAAGGTCACGATCTCAATCTCCCAACAGATCAGTTTCAAGAAAACCAAAAAGAGGTACTTGCGAAATCTCATATTCTTTTTGTCCTCTCGTAATGACTTTCTTTTAGACATCTTCTTAATCAGAAGTAGAACCTCTGGGCGGGCGGGTAATCATATATTGCAAGGTAATCGTTGATATTTCCTGTTTTCTTTATCTCTTTTTCCCTGAATTAAACTATTTAGAGGGATGTTTCGTTTGCGGAGGAAATGCTGGTGATCTGCTTCATTGCGGGAAAAAGTACACTCCTGGGGCATTTTGCTCAACAACTTTTCATAAGGAGTGCATTGAGGTGGCTTTTTTTTTGCTATAAATTTTTCTCATTTTTTGCTCAAGAATCCGTTGCTGCTCGTGTTTATCACGGCTTTTCACATGGCCTCGGTTTTTTTTGAAAACTTTCTGTGGAGCCGTACTCACTAAATATGGTATTTCTGACAGAAATAATTCCGTTTCAAATTAGAATTGCTATGATTTTTCATATTTGTTGTTGCATAATTATTATTTCTGACGTCTATTTTCATTTTTAATTTTTTACCAAATGCTGTAAGATGTTCAAAACTCTTTCCCTGCTCTACAAAATCGCTCTTTCCATTCCTAACTCTTTTTTGATCTTTGAGCAAATAAATAGAGTGTGTGCTTTCAATCGCGGCCGAAAACCTCGTAAAAAAGCTATACTTGCTCCTTTTATAGACATGCCTATTTTTGTTCAAGACGCTGGCGCTGAAAGCCCTCCGAGTTTGAAAGAGATCTTGGAGGCGGTTCAGTAGCCTCTATATACTAATAATATATAATACTTTGCTCCATAGGGTTGTCGTATCTTCTGACTAAATTCCAGCTGCAGCAATGTGTAATTCTCGATGCTTTGCGATTCCGGTGTAATCTTCGACGAATTTCTG